GCACCAAAATGGGTTGCTGGTCCCTGAGGAATATAAAATTTGAGAGAACTGAAGACTAGAATAGTCAAAGGAACACAGTTCTTAGTAATGGCCTAACTTCCTTGGGGAAAATTGATTGCTTTGTTATTCCTGCAGGGGACCCGGAGCTCAACAGTGAGTCCAGAAAGGGGCCAGCATGTCCTTGCAGAGAGCGAGGCCATCTTCCTTCCTGATTTTAGGTCACATGGAGCCACAACAAATGAGTGTGCCTCAGTCTATCAGCAGCATCTTTAACTCCATGTTATCTTGAATGATTACCATCTACCTTCCTCTCCCTTCAACTCAGGCCACCTCCCTTCCTGGGGCCTCATTGCTCCTGGGCCTTCTAATATCACCTCAATGCTAATCACGCTCCCAGTCAAACACCCAACTGGACCCTTCTCCCCACCTGCAAGCTCAGACATCTGGCTTCTGGACACAGTCCACAGACGCCCCAGAAGCCACCCCCCGCCCACCCAACACAGCCCAAACCGGATTTCCTCCTGACTCCTCCCAGCCATTTGGGAACATTCCAGGGTTCTCTCAAATCAACAGCTAATCAGTCACCTGCGATAGCTCCACGCCACCACGTCCCTTTGGAAAATTGTGTGACTGTATCTGTGTACCTGTGTTTCATTCTTCAAAGGAACACCACACTTGCTTGCTTTAAAACTCAGAGCACATAGACCTCAAGGGGAAAACCTGCCCCCTCCTGCCCCACATAGGCAACTTGGAACGCTCCTGTGTATCTCCCAGAGGTGATGTGTACACTTACAAGGAAAGGGCAATACATGTTCCCCTCTGCTTACACAAATGGGAGTGTATTACAGTCAGCCCTCCGTATCCACAGGCTCCACATCTGCAGATTCAACCAACCACAAATCAAAAATATCTGGAAAAAATTGCATCAGTACTGTACACATAAGGACTCTTTTTTCTTATTATTATTCCCTAAATAACCATTTACACAGTATTGACTGTTACTATAAGTAAAATCAAGGTGATGTGAAGCATATGGAAGGACAATGTAGTGAACCACACTGTCTCACATAATCCACAGTTCTGGGTACCTGCAGGGGTGTGAAACCAATACCCCATGGATAATGAATGTTAATTGCATGTACAATCCTCCTCCTTGATCTTGTTCTTTTTTTTCCCACTTGACATATCTTGGTGATTTTTTCCAAATCTGTACCCAAAAAGCTCCTGTATTCTTTCTCATGGCTGTGTAGTATTCCACTGAATAGCTATATCATGTTGTATTGAACCAACTCCCCAGTTAATGGTTTCCGATATTTGCTATTACTAATACTGCTGCAATGCATGACCCTGAGCATGCACTTTTGCACATGACCATGTTTATAGAACCCTGCGACATCTTTCAGTTTCTTGCTCCTTGCCCCTTTCTATCTCCACTGTGTCTGCTTTAGCATTCCACTGGCATCTCTGCTTTATTACTCTTAACTCACACTTAACAAATACTTGGTGTGTACTTTCCACAAGCCGGGGACTCCATTCAGATGGGGAAGAACAAGGGAATAAAGAAGCAGACCCACCCCACAATATCCCTGCCTACCTCACAACTGTTGAAGCTTTGGGAGCTTACGAAAAATCAACCCCTCTCTCCTCTGTGTTTGGAATCAGTAGAGAATTAGCGACAGGAATCAAACAAATGGGAATAAAAACATGAACTTCCTTACCATCAGTGTTTCTTTGGCAAAAGAGGCCAGTCCTACAGCCAAATGGGCTTCCTACTGTGTCCTCCATGTTCAGACCTGGAGCAACCCTCTTGTGGGAGAGTTGGATCTGTAGAGGGGCAGACGGCTGCCCAGATGGTGGCCAGGGGAATTGCTGTCTCATGACTGACAAGCTCCGGCAGGGGACAGAGACAGACAGGCCTCTACACCAGCTTCTAGAAGACTCAGGTGTATTTTCCAAATGGAAATAGGAGGTGAGATGAGGCACCAGCTCCATGGGCAAGCAGATCCCAAGAGGGAGAGAGGAAGTGGGGAGGGGACAGGTTAGCTACCCAACCTCTTTGCCCCTGCCCGAGGAAAGTGGAGAAATTTCTTCATGGTAACACAAGATTAGCAGGATAGAATTCCTCTAACAGTAAACCAAAAAGCTTACTTTCCATCACTCTGCTTTAAAACAAAGTGGCTCTTCAACTAGGAACAAATGAGATCTTTCGAAGTTTCTAAAGGGTATTTTTGAAAAAAAGGTTTAAATAAAAAAATTGCCTACTATTATGCTCTCTGACAAACTCTTTTGAATACTTGTCTATTTTCCTCAAAGATAAAAAAAATAAACTATTACTAATTCAGCTTAGTGACAGGAATTGAGTCTGAATTATAGGATTTTTAAGAAATCTAACTTTATTGTAGCATGCTGTAATTGAACATAAGAAAGGCTGACGTAAACAAGAATTAGAAGATTATTCCAAAGTGATTAAAACATTTTCAAACTTTTTTCTGTCCTTTCCTCTTCTGGCTGATATCTTTTTAAGGCAGATGGCCCTGAACGACCATCTTTCTAATATGTTTACTTTGCTACAATACTAGAAATTTTTTCTTGCATAGCCCAGAGCCAAGTTTACACATTAGGAAAGGTGAGAAATGCCTCAGGGTCTTGCACTCAGCCTGCCCCATGCCACTGGGTCTCAGAGTTCCCCAGGCTTCCTGATCAGCAAGTTTATAGTCAGCTTTTAGTTCTGATCCCTGACCTTTCATTCTGCTGCATTCGACACCATCAGCCAGATTCCTGAGTCCCACCACTAGGGACTCTAATTAAACAGGTTCCATGATCCATTTTTTGACAAAATTTCTGAAGTTATTTTTGTGACTGGCCACAGACTGCTCCCCTTCTCCTTGACACTCCTCCACTGGCTTTCACAACCCACTAGAGCCCTGTTCTCCTGCCTTCTGACCACTCCTTTTCTTTTGCATGGCTACTGTAGCTCACCATTGCAATAAGAACTAACACATCTGCCTGAATAAAGGACCATCCCAGAAGAAGCAGACAGAGGTCCACAAGCCAGGATGGACAACTCAAGGCCTTCCTCAGCTCCTTTTCCTGGATGGGGAAGATGTCCCTCAAGTCACAAAGCTGGCAAGATACACCCAGGATGCCTGTGGCATATGACATGGCCTGTGACATGGTAGAAAATGGACAGCAGGAGTCAAGGAGGCAACAGGTAGAGAGATAGGCAGGCTGCAAGGTTGGAGGTGCAGGTAGCAAGAGAAAAACAATCTGACTTGGTAGCATTTATACATTTAGGCCCTTTAATGGCCATTTATCTAACTTTTTTATCTGACCCAACATTCTTATGACTAGTAGATTAGCTTCTCAGAATGCATAGCTAAGCTTAGCAGACATCTAGCCTTCTCTAACCCTAAAGCTAAAAATGCTATAAAATAGCCGGGTGTGGTGGCACACGCCTATCCCATGACTCAGAAGGCTGAGGCAGGAGGATTAAAAATTCAAGAATAGACTCAGCAACTTGGTGAGGCCTTAACAATTTAGCAAGACCCTGTCTCAAAATAAAAAAATAAAAAGGGCTGAGGATGTAGCTCAGTGATAGAGTGCCCCTGGATATAATCCCCAGTACTGAGGATAGGGGGTGGGGAGAAGCTCTAACATCTGAAACCCACAGAGAAGAATGCCTTGCCACGTTGCAGCTCATCTACCCTATGCTCCTACCAGTGTAAATGGTAAACACATTGATTTATGACTTACATTTGTTCTGGCTATAAAAAGTTCATGCAACCTCTTCCACAGTGGAACATGTCATTCAGGATAATTCAAATCCATGTTCCTAGGCCATGGTCACTCACATTTGGCTCAGAATAAACAATATTCTCATTTCCTTTAAAGCAGAGATGTTACTTTATGTCAACACACAGGTTTATCAAGTCCATTCTAATCTTCCTCTGAAATATTCCTAAGTCCAGCCTATCCCTTCTGCCCCGACTAGAACTCTCATTGGTCCCCACTGCCAACAGACTCATCTAAATGCAATTTAGCTGTCCCCTGACACTATTTTCTTTCCAATATGCAATTCTAATTGTGCAATGCCCTGCCTAGAGTGTCAAGGCCAGGGGTTCCCATTCCCCCAATGACATGGCTCTACCCAACCACCAAAGCTCACTGCCCACCACTCCCCAAGAAGCATCAGCCAAATCAGATTGCTTCAAGGTCTCCCCACACCTCTACCTGGTAGTTCCCCAACTTCAAGTGCTCTTTCCACTGAGAAATTTTGGACTGTCCCAGCTAACAACACTTTTATAAGTCCCCTTTGCATCCCCAGCACTTGGCACAAGGCCCAGCTCTGGCTTGGTCAGTTTCATTGGTGTACAGCACTGGACTATAAGATTCTTCACTTGACAGTACCAAAATGCCCTGTGGCCAGTGACATTCCATAAACACCTTGATTGCACACCTGAGTGTTCTGGGGTTGAGAGATGGGCACTGGAGCTAGACAAACCTAGGTTCGAAACCCTGCTGTGTGTCTTGGACAACTCTCTTAATCTTTCTGCCTCAGCTTTCTCAAGTGTAAAGCGGGGATAACAGTAGCAGCCTCATTTTTTTTTTTTTTCATTTGTGAAGACTAAAGGAGAAAACGCATTTAGGATGTTTGGGGAAATGCCTGTACATGGGTGATAGATAAATATTTGTTGAATGGATAACTTAATGAATGAGAGATTCTTAAAGAAACACCTTTCTAGCTTGTTTTCCAAAGAACTCAACGTTGGCTCCGGCAAATTCCAGCCTGTGCCCCGGGCATGGTCCAACACGCCCATTCTCACGTGCCGCTGGGTGAGCTTAATGAGCAAAAGCACACACCTCGGGCTCCCTTGGCTCCGCAGGGACACAGGCACTTCCCCCGCTCCGCCCGCAGCCAGGTCAGCCCTGAGGCCGCCAATCACCAGGGACCCGCCCCGGACTCCAGGAGTCCTGCCCGCCCCTCACACGTCACCCGCGCGGTGCACCGTGGGGCTCGCAGTCTCCCAGTCTACGAAGGAGGCCGAGCTGGCCCGTCCGCAGTGAGGACTAGCCCCCGCCGAGTTCAGGCGGAAGGTCTCGGGTAACCCGCCAACGCTCTGCACACAAACCCCGGCCTCCAATGAGTAAGGAAGGCAGGAAGGTCGGCGTTCTCGGCCGCCCGGCGGGTGGGAGCCCACGCCCTGCCTGGATTTCCTCTCCTCTGGCTCAGCCCTTTGACAGGCGCATTTTGCTCGTTAATTGAACATTAACTGACCTCCTAGAGTTCTGTTTCAAGTCACCGGGAGAGTCAGTTCTCACTTCACCTAAGAGGTAATTTATGGGCGGTAGGGGATTGGCTTTGAAAAGCCACGGGACTCACAGATCGCGAATTGACCTACCCTAAGTGGACCTTTTACGTTTCAAAGGGCATTAGCTCTAAGATCGTCAAAGCCCTCTGCAGCTCCCATTGCCTCAATAGAAATTCAGATCCCTTTGCTAGGCATTTAAGGGCTTCATTATTATTTTGTATTTAATTACGGAGAGTCACATTTTAACGCAGCCTTTCTCAACTTTTGTCACAGATGAGAACCACTTGGGGAGCTTTTTAAAAATAATGGTGCTTGTGTTCCATCCTATACTTCGAAATTTTGGAGGTACAGTGCAGACTTCTGTTCATTATTTTCCCTAGGCGATTGCTATGTGCTGAGAATGGCTGGGAGAACGTCTATCAACAGCTCTCAAGGATGAAGGTTCCACGGGGCTTTCCTCTGTTCACAGTGGCCTTTTCCCTCATCTCCTGCCCGACCTGGGCTGGGCTTGACCTCAAGGCCGAGCTCAGCTGCTGCCCCTTCTCAGGAGCCTACTTCTTCCATCAGCGTTTTATAAGTGCTTCTTTTCTAGCACCGTGGGGGTTACTTGTCCATCTCTCTGGATGAGCTCTGTGAGCTCCTTGGGGAACAGGTCCTCTTTCCCTTCACTCCAGATCCATTGAATCAGAACCCCTGGGGGTGGGCCTCAGGCCAGAGTTGTTTCTTAGGTTCCAAAGGTGATTTTTTAAAAAAAATATTTTTAGTTGTAGATGGATACAATACCTTTTTTGTTTGTTTATTTATTTTTAAGTGGTGCTGAGGATCAAACACAGTACCTAACAGGAGCTAGGCAAGTGCTCTACACATCCCCAGGCCTCACAGGTGATTTTGATCCATATCCCCAGCCAGGAATTGATTTCACAAAAGCACTGGACACAGTAGGCATAGATAAATATTTGTTGCATTGAATAGATGAAGCATTTCCTTTGTTTTGAAATCAATCATATATGCTAGCTAGTTGCCTTTGATTTCCCTGGAGATCTAAACACTTCTCTCCTATAGGATTTTCTATATCCATGTACTTATTCATTCATCCAACAAATATCACATATTCTAGCAAAGGCCTGTTGTGGTTCAGGAATATACAGGAAAACACAGTACCACCCTAATGGACTTAACATAACATTTATACAATTATTCTTATATTTTTTCTGTATTATATTAGAATAATTTTCTTCCATATTCTATTGGCTTGCTAGAGGTGCTCAATGAATATTGTTAAATAAATAGATAAATAAGACATCATCAAAAATAGAAATGCAATGCCAGGCTCAGTGGCGTAAGCCTGTAATCCCAGGGGCTTGGGAGGCTGAGGCAGGAGGACCGCAAGTTCAAAGCCAGTCTCAGCAACTGTGAGGCGCTAAGCAACTCAGTGAGACCCTATCTCTAAATAAAACACAAAATAGGGCTAGGGATGTGGCTCAGTGGTCGAGTGACCCTGAGTTCAATCCCCAGTAACCAAAAAAGAAAAATAGAAATATAGTCTCCAAGATCACACCCACACCGCTTTCCTTCCCACTCTCCCCTGAAAGATATTCCTCCTGTACACTAAGGGATTTCATGTTAAAACGAGTGTGTCCCCAAACTGAGACCTGCTTTTTTTACTTACTTACAGGTTGACCTGGGACTCTAGCTCAGGGTCTTTCGTTGGCCATGTCTGAAGGGACTGGATGCCAAAGGAGAGAGACGACTTTGCTTTCCAGAGGAGGGTCTGTGCCATCTGACTCCCACAGGACCCCTTGGTCAGCGGCTCCATCACTGGGCCTGGAGACTGTGTTGCTGTGCTGAAGCAGAAGAAGTTGGGAAAGGCTCTGAGAAACAGAAGAACACAGGCCCACCAAAGCCTGCCCTGTCCTCTTCCTCCCAGGACAGCTGTTCATAAGCCAGGAGCAGGGGGATGCCAAGCACGCCCTTTACAGCAGAGTGGTACTCAGGGACCCTGGGGCTAGGGGTGCTGCCCAGAACAGTCCAAATCTTATCTCATCCCTGAGCAATAAGTTATGTTGCCCACAATGTCAAGTCAGAGGACTTGGTTTTGACATTGGTTTTGCTCTGGTTTTGATATTCTATGTCCTCCAAGGGTTCATGTGTTGAAATTGAGTCCCCACTGTGAGGAATCAGAGGATGGAGACTTATTCTGCTATTTTAGGGGTGGGGCCTTTGGAGGTGATTAGGATTAGAAAAGGTCATCTAGGAGGGGCCCCCATGATTGAATCCTGATGGCTTTGTAAAAAGACAGAAAGACCAGAGGAGGCACAGACACACATGTACACTCCCTATCTTTTGCCATGTGACATCTTGTACCACCTTGGGACAATTCCAACAAGTTGGCCATCATCAGAAATGGTCCTCACCCTTTGATAAGAACTATAAACCAAAATAATCCTTGTGGGAGGCCATCCTCGCACGTGATTTGAGTTACCTCCCTGGCTGGGTGAGAGGCGCTTAGACACAGCTGTATTAGAGCCTTCCCCACCCTTTCCCAGGTCCGAGGGCTTGTCCGTGCAGAGGCGTGCCTGGCCACTGCCCTGAAGACCCAGTTGTTGCCCCTGACCTTGGGATGCTGTCCCTCTTAACCTTCATTGGATGGGATTTTCCCTGGAATTTTTTGTTCCCCAATTAAAGCCCACTCCCTGGCGTGTTCTCTCTTTCTCGCTAGTCTCTTCTGTAAACCTCACCACCGCATTAGGTGGTTGGAGGCGGGAGCTAGGAGAAGCCGTCTCGGAGCTGGTATTAAAGGTAATGAGAGTCTTGTCTCTTTAATTTAAAACTCCTTAGCAATTACTTATGAACCGAACCTTCTTTCATGAAGCCAGCGCTGGTCGAGTGGCAGAGATCCTCTTCTTTTATACAGTTACCCAGTCTCAGGTATTTTGTTATAGTAATGAAAAGTGGACTTGGGGGCTGGGGATGTGGCTCAAGCGGTAGCGCGCTTGCCTGGCATGCGTGCGGCCAGGATTTGATCCTCAGCACCACATACAAACAAAGCTGTTGTGTCCGCCGAAAACTAAAAAATAAATATTAAAAAAAAATTCTCTCTCTCTCTTTAAAAAAAAAAAGTGGACTAATATAGTTCAGAGTGAGTATTTAAACAATCACAAACTTATTTAGAAAAAAAAGGCAATATTGGTTTAGTACAGGAAGTTATGTCTAAGATGCTTTAGGAGAACAATGTGGATCTCTCAGCCATCACTGGGATAGTTCCAGTACTACTTGGTTTATCAAATTTCCAGTTTAAAATGTCCAAGAACAATCATATAAAGGCTTAGACTGGCAACACTGGAGACAAAAAGGAAAAAAATCACATATTTTAAGAGTAATAACATTTAATATGTAAAGAGTCAATGCTGTAGAATTAACAAATAGGTTGCTCATGGGATAACCTGAGAAATGTACTCTGAGATGTGCCTGCCCTTTCTCTGGTGGCACATGGAGGAAGGTTGGAAAGGCAGTTCTAGCATAGAGCGGGTGGTGTATAGGAAACATAGGCATCCCTACTCCTCTTGACTGGAGTGGTGTTCTGAGCCATCTGGCAGCATCTTCACTCACCTCTACCTCAAGTGACAGACAAAGGAGCCACAAAATCCAGCTACTTGGAAATGGAAAAGTAAAAAGCAATCTTAGGGGCTGGGATTATGGCTCAGTGGTAGAGTGCTTGCCTAGCACATGGGAGGCCCTGGGTTTGATCCTCAGCACCGCATAAAGATAAATAAAATAAAGATATTGTGTCCAACTAAAATATTTTTTTTTTTTAAAAAAGCAATCTTAGATGACATTTGGTCAAGAGGTGCTCTTCATAATGTTAAGGCAGAAGTCAGAGGCCTAGTGGTCCAGAGCAGTATTATCTGAGGAAGGGTCTACACAGGGTACTGCCACCTGCCCAGGGCTGGATGCCAAGGGAAGTGACTCCACACTGCTGGGTATCAAGAGATAGGCACTGATCACTCGAAACTGTTCTGCCAGTGTCACCCAGGCCCAAGGCTGCAGGCATCTTGAAAAAGCAGATGTTACTCTAGTGACCTATGTCTCATGAGGAAGGATTCAGGACCTTCTCTTGCTAGGTCCCCTGGTGTTCCTCAGTGATAACTCCACTCTCCCCACTGCCTTTCCTGGCCCTGAGAAGCCAAATGCTGCACACCTGACCCAGACTTCTAGAAAATCTTACCCTTGGTCCCTTACCATTGCAGCAGACATCAAAGTCTCAGGCTTTCAACCTGTGACAAAAGCCAAGTAGCCATTCTATTGTGCAATCAGTTTTTCTTTATGCAAAGGCGCCCCACAACTCCTAAGCCTCAGTGGCACAGGAGTTTACTGCTGCCTTGGCACTAAAATAACAAATAGATTTAATCCCCATTGTGGGATCTGGGATGAGAGAGACATTTTGTTTTCTAAACTCTTAAAATTTCTTTTCAGTACAAAGATAATACTTGTATGCAAAAAAGAAATTGAAAAAGTATTCTCAAAACCCCCAAAGGAAGTGAAGGAAGCAGGCTAGGGAACGGGAAGGGGCCAAGTAAGGCTTCGAATTCTGGCAGAGTCCTTTGAAGGGACAGCTTCAATTTGAAGGAGGCTGTGCTGCTCAGCTCAGCTCAGCTCAGCGGCCACTCACCACATAACTTCAGAGCAACTCCAACATGGGCAGTCTGAAGTGAGCTGCGTAAGTGTGACACACACTGGCTCTGGAAGACTTGGTACAAATAAAAAATAATGTCAAATGTCTCGATTATTTTTTACACTGATTACATATTGAATGATAATAAGATAAATTATTAGAATTCATTTGAACGTGGCTAGTTGAAAATATAAAATTCTATATGTAGCTCACTTTATATTTTGACAGTGCTGCTAGAGGAGGTAAGTGATGTCTCAGAGTTGTCCCCATCTATAAGGAGGAGCTGGATGATCACATTCCTGCAGTTTTTCATTGGCTGAGGGCCTTGGGGTAGGGTGAGTAGCCCAGGCACTTGGGGCTCTCTGCACAGGTACGCAAGGCAGCTGCAGGGGTTCAAGGGAAGACACTTAAGAAGAGCTGCCTATGAGTGCTGGAGGTGCACAAAGTTCCTTTACCTCTGAGCACAGGAGAGGTAAAGGGACCTGAGGAGACCCATGTATTGGTGACAACCCCAAACTCCACTCCCTTTTTCCTCTGGTTTTCTATCACTCCTCTCTATGTAATATATATGCTTGGACCATCCAATGTTCTGTGGCTTTCTTTTCTGCCTAAACCTTAGTTCTTAGACATCTTTCCAAAATGCATACAAGTACATCCCCAACAAGAAAGAGCAAGACAACCTTACACATTGTTTACATTTGTTTAGATTTTTAATCTTAAAATACTGAGTTTAACATGCTATTTTTCTTGAATCTTTATGACTTTGTTAAAAATCTTAAATACTAGCTCTTTCAAACCTTTCCCACTCCTTAATTTTATCTTTTGACCATAACTTTACTCGTAAGAGTTCTCCACACTTCAATTCTTCACCTACATTTCTGTTTCCCCACTATTAACTATAATCCATTTATCTTTTTGCCTCTTATCTTTTCTTGTTTTAATTTTCTAATTTAAAAAAAGTGTATGTTTCCTTTAATCTTCTGACACATTTTATCTTTATTGTCTTTCAACAGTTGAAGAACTTCTTGGAGAGTTGCAAAACTTTTTGGAGCTCATGGAAATAAAAGCCAACAACAGCTCAATAGAAAGAAGGACAGTTACTGAAAGAAGAGAAAGGCCAGGGTCTCCGCTGCACAGCTATGTGCACATGCTGTCAAAAGAGCCCGGGGGCTCCGCACGTTATGTAGTGGGAGGGAAATGGGCAAGAATGTCCTGAGGGTCTGACCCTGACACAACCTACTTGGAGGGGTGAGAACTGGGCAGGCTTCTTCTTTTTCTTTTCACTGCCCCAGCTTTCTAAAAAGCAGCGGCCCAATCTGAAGAGGGCTGAAAAGAAGGGTATCTTATTTCTGAACTACTTGAAACTCTGGGAAGGTGTTAAGCAAAAGCACACATGAATCCACCAAAAGAAGGGCCGTGGGTCATGGGAGATCATGCGGACCCAGACCCTCTCTGGAGTGGCCATGCTGCCCTGAATTGGGAGGAAAGCTGGACACCAAGGCAAGCCCTACTACAGGGGCAGAGCATCACAGCAACCAGGGCTTCAGTGGACCAGGGAAGTGTGGGAGTCAGTGAAAACAGAGGGCCTATTCCCACAGTGTCCAGATCCTTCCTGCTCCTAGAGACGAGAGCTCCAGCCCAGGCCAGGAGAGGACACATCAGCTCAGAGGAGCGGGCTGAGGTGGACCTGCCCATCACTAGCAAACAGGTAAACACAGACCTAGACAGAGCTGCCTCCATCTGTAAATGAACAGAACTAAGGTGTCCTTTAGGGAAGAATGGTCCTGAAGGTATCCTGTGAGCAATGTTTCTGTGCATGGGGTTCCTGTGGACTGCCAAGCTCTGAGGAGCAGAGTTGACCATTTTCTCTTCCACGGCTCCCCAAGGCCCTGTGTGCCTCATGTCTCAGGATTAAGGGTCTGAAGTGATGGGAGTGAAGAGAAGCATGGCCTGTTTCACAGGTAGCCTCTGCCGAGCGCCGTGAGGAAGCAACAGCAGCCCACTGAGAACTCATCTGGGAGCCCCAGACAGAGCTGCAGCCATGGCACCTGGTCAGGCCTGCAAAGCTCACAAGGTGGGGGAAGAGACCATGCAAGAACAGAGCTGCAGCACTAAAGGAGGCTCTGTGCTAACAGGCAGCTCTCCAGGCACAACAAAAGGCATACGAGGCTCCTTGGATTGACAGATGGCTCACTGTCCTGAGCACTGAAGTTGCCATTTTCCCTATGGACCGAGAGGAACTTCTCAGAGCCACACCCACCTGCCAGCATCCTGCACATTCCTCCTCCTGTTTGCTGGAAACAACCTTAACCTCATTGTTCATCAGTAGCTGCCTGTCTTTGACTCGGCCTGGCACACATTCTGCCCCCCACATTCGGTCACTCCTTATCCTGTAGCATCCTACTCCCTGGCACTCACCGCTGTCTGAAGCTGTCCTGATTATGCACTTGTCTGTTGGTGTATGGTCCACTGCTCTCCACTAGAATGCTAGTCTACAAGGGCAGGAACCTCATCTGCCTTGTTCACCTGGTCTCCCCAGCACCAAGCACACAGAGGTGTTCTGTGTATATTTGTTTGATGAGTAAATAACTCATTGAAATTTATGAAAGCCAAAAACACTGGGAAACTACTCCCTTGGAATAGGGAGAACAGGTGCAATGTGCCTTCCCTGAGTGACGTCACTGGCAGCTTGGGTCAGACCTCTCCCTGCTTCTCTCACCTCCAATGGGTTACTGCTTTGTGAGGACTATGCCAGGCACACGGGTGCAGACAACCACCTGCAAAACATTAACCCAGGCTCTAGGTACAGAGTGGATGCTAGGAAATACTTCTTGGCTGGCAGTGCTTCTCTCTGGTCATAAAATGAAAGGCAGGAGCTTATGTCCTCACTTCCATTTGTGCTATAGGTCACTGGCAGTTGTGGCTGGAAAGTCCACCTCAGCCCTCCATCTGAAGCTGAAGTGCCCCTTTTTACCTCTTTGCCCAATAAGATGGCTCCCAAGAATGGGCGCCAGCTGTGCAGTGGCACCCCAAGGCACAGAGGCACCTAGACTAGTGTGCCACCAAGTTTCCCATCCATGTGACCAAGCTGCTTTCACTATGACTGAAGAGACATACTGCTCGTGGCGATA